ACGGGTGAAGAACATTCTAATGGCGAGCAGCCCACAGTCTCAAACGATTGACCATCCATGCAGGCTTATAGGTAAGTAAGAGACACTGGAGATCTGCACGGGGGGGTAGCAAAGAAGAGAAAATAGTAGGCATTGTAGAACCTGCAACCACACAGTGAGAACGGGAAATTCACAATCAACACTCTTGCAGTCTTGTGCGTAGGCGGATGGTCAGTTGTTAAGAGGGAGGGCGTGAATGCAGCGTGTGAAATAATTTTAAGATCTTACATGTCAAGGTGGGGTAATTGCGAGCTGGCCTTGAAAGTATCAAACCAGTGCTACATTTCACAAGCATGAGATTGCGATGGACTGAGATGTACTAAGTCTGAAATATATCACCATTGCACATTCACTAACTTGTTGTAGAGATATTTCAGATTCTCTAGCCTGACAGAAAGTTTGCTTGATTCGTAAATGACCATTCTCTCGAATATGAAACATTGTTCAATATCATTAAAAACGTGACAAGCTCAGTGTTCTTGAGATACACTAAGCCCGATTGTTCGAATTCCACATGCGAGGTGATTGCTGAAACCTATAAACATGCAGGTGTTAACGTAGATACTGGCATCCAAGACACTGATACTGCCACAGACATAATTTGATAGTGACAGCGGAGCGAGGTTTCATATTGGAATAGAAACACGGAAATCATTTTCATCGTCATAAGAACCTTAGCTGAGAGCAAAGTCTAAGGTATGATTCCGACTTAGACTAACAACTAGTCTCTGAAATAATCATATGTTACAGATAAATCAGTTTCATAATAAAAAATATATAAATATAATGAAAAGGAGCCCTGAGACTTTCTTAATTCCTGAAACTGTGGAAATCTAGACTAGCCACATATTTTAGACTTTCTTTGATATAATTGTTTCAGGGTCTGTATGACAGACTAGATTCCGACTCAACATAAGCATGTGTAAGAAGTGAAGTTTGTGGCTGGAATCTTCACCATCTGTGTACACATGGATAGGATGTATGTCACAGTATCTGGCTCATCTGTGACGGCCTTATGATGATGTGCTGTCTTGAATCTTTGACTGGGTCATTCATCTTATCATCAGCTAATGTTGTGATTTATGAGGAAATAGTTATCAAAACAATCTTTTCTTTTTTAAAAACTTTTCAACATCCTGTAACACTTTCCCTTGCATTCCGTTCTCGAGCGGAAGTCCTCGTGGCAAAGATCAGCATCAACAAAAAATAGTATTCGCGGTATTGAAGGGGAGTTCCTCGTAATAGTATAGATTACTTTCACAGTATAGTTCAGCAGACAAAATAGTGGATTTTTAAAATACTTGAAAACTTCCCTGAACTGCTAGACTAACAACTAATCTCTGAAATGAACATATTTTACTGAAAAAAAGTTCATAGTAAAAAAATATATACACATGTATAATGAAAAGGAGCCCTGAGACTTTCTTCAATTTCAGAAAAAGCTGAGGAAATCTAGACGTGCCACATTTTCTAGACTTGCGTGGGCTTTCTTGGATATATTTGCTTCAGGGTCTGTACGACGGACTACTGAACTGCATGTGAACAGAATTAGACTCAGGTCAAATGACACTCCAAGTACAGTCAAATAGCGTTTGGTCAAACTTCGATAAGTCGAACTCAAGTCTGTGTCGAAGTAAAAGCTTAGTCCCTGTGTATTCCTTTTTAGTCATCAATTTGCGGGTCTGGCGAACCTCGGATAACTCGAAGTGTGTTAGTGGGTCCCTAGACTAACATCTAGTCTCTGAAATGAACATATTTTACAGAAATAAAACAGTTCCGAAATTATTATCATAAAATATAATAAAGAGGAGCACAGAGACTTTTTTTCCTTTTCCTGAAACTGTGGAAATATAGACTTGCCACATAATCTAGACTTGCATGGGCTTTCGTGGATATGTTTGTTTCAGGGTCTGTATGACAGACTAGAGGGTCCCATCAACATCGACACAATGGTGCCTGCAATCGAAATTCAAACAGCTGTGAAACTTTTATGGTCAGCTTATGCTAATTATATATTAACGCAATGTAGGTTCATACACCTACCGGTCACAACGCATACTGCATAGAAAATAGGCACCACACACAACTCATCAGCCGCGAAAGCATTCATACAAATTTCACAGAATATTAACCTTCATAGTTATATTAAGACGTAAAATCGACCTTTCCTTTCACCCTTTGCTTTGGGCTCGTTACCACGCCAGTGTATCAAGTTTGTATACTTGTCTAAACTATCACCATCTGACTTCCAACCAAACATACGTGTCTTGCGGTTGCGCGAAGGGGATTTCAACTCCTGGAGAATTTCAAAGTTCATGTTATGTGTTTCATCAAATGTCAGGCCTGGCGAAATGTTGATTTTAGATCTTGGTGATTTGTGACTTGCTCTCTGTTAACCCTCCCAAGGCTATCAAAACACACACATAGTCATATACCGCGCTCTGTACAAGCTCTTCGGATGGTTTGCAAATTATCCGTATTTTCAGAAAGGTTGGCGAATACCTTGGTTAAAAGGTCACAAGTTTAAGAACGTATACACACTTTGGGGAAGTGTGAAAATGTGAAACTATACAGCTTCGGTTATATTGATAGAATTACATCTGTGTTTATCACAGAAATTTGATTTATTTCATATCTGTTTTGTAGAATTATTTTCGCTTAAAAATCAACAAAAGAAGTCATTGATAATACATTCAGAGACTGGATACGACTTAATACCTGGTTGGTTTTTCTATCTCTTAAACGTGTAAGTACCCAGGGAAACACACAACACTATTTACCCCGTCCATCTTCCTGAACGCTTCCTGATAATACACTGTGGTGAACAAGAGTATTTACAAGGGGTAATTGTAAACCGCGACTCAACCTTGCTCTCCTAGTACACATAAACAACCGACCCCCTTGTTTGTTGTTGAACGACCCAACCTGGCCAGATGGGTCATTGTTGACCTAATTAATTGAAATTCCATTAAAGAGCTTTGTCCTACTTTTATGACTAATACCTCGTCAGAGATATATTATTAGCCGGGAACATTTAAGACTTGTACGTAGAGGTAGCTTAGTGGTTAAAGCGTTGTATATACTAGTACTGTCACGTCAAAAATCCGGGTTCAATCCCAAAATGGGTAAAATGTGTTGAGCCCATTTCTGGTGTCGCCCTCCCTGTTATTGCTGGTATATTCCTAAAAGCGCCGTAAAACCATACTCACTCACTCACTGTTCGTGACAAGTTGGTTAACCACCTTCCAAGGCTGCGGGATCGGGTGGTCAGGCTCGCTGGCTTAGTTGACACATGTCATTGGTTCCCAATTGCGCAGATCGATGCTCATGGTCACTGGATTGTTTGGTCCATACTCGATTATTTACAGACCGCCGCCATATAGCAGGAATATTGCTGAATGCGGCGTAAAACTAAACTCACTCACTCACTCCAAGGCTGCGCTGATGATCATGGATGTGTAGCTATTCAGCTGGATAAGCGGACAGTCAAAGGACGCCGGTCCTTTAAAGAGACAACTTGTTCTTATTGATCAAATCCAGACATTATGATTTAAACTAATAATCATTTTGCCTTAGAGACTTGTGCAAGACAGCTTTTTTGCTTTGGTAAATATTTCGGTGGTATATATTATACAGCACTGATTCACGTTTCATATTTAGACATATCTATATATTTGACAATATAACAATTCATCAAGTAAACATTGCGTTGCAATCAAATATTGAGATAATGGTATCATTAGGAGCTTTAACCCTTCGTGTGTATCAGGTGTTTGTTGCTTTAATGTATAGGTTATACCTTATAGCGGTGGGGTAGCCTAGTGGTTAAAGTGTTCGCTCGTCACGACAATACCCGGGTTTGATTCCCCACATGGGTAAAAGGTGTGAAGCCATTTTTGGTGTCCCCTGTCGTGACATTGCTGGAATACTGATAAACGCGGCGTAAAACTAGACTCACTCACCCACCCAACCGAAAATTTTCAGCAATTAGACACAATAATAGTTTTTCGCGAAATGTTTTGCATCATCCAGGGAAATGAAACGAAAACAATCCCACACGTTCCATTTTTGCCAGTTACTGATTAATTGTAAACAGTTTAATTAACAATTCAGTTTGTAAATGCTCGGTTACAGACAAATGATCCAAGTTCTTATATGCCACACTTTCAGAGAATGTACGTCATATATTGGTGTGACTTTGTTTCCAGGAGATGATCTAAGCGGGACCACAGATTCCGGGCAGCCATTAAAGTTTCAAGGAACAAGCGATCCGAGTAAATGTATACAAATATTACGTCAGCTGTTGTCGAAGGCCCCGGATGACCGGTGCTACCCGAAGCCCTGTGCTATAGGCTCTGTGTACCAGCCAAGTATTGGCAACATGCCCTTCTACGCCACCCAGGGGTTTGTCTACACGCCCAACACCATGGGGTCTTTAGATGCGGACAAACATCTGAACATTACTCATCTAAAGGATGAGTCTATTATCTACTGCCAAAAGGTAATTCAAATACACGTGACGGAGAGTGAGAAAAAGGCGCTGCAATTAGCAGGACACGCCAGGATCCTATGACTGTTGGTCACACAGAGTGAGTGAGTATGGTTTTACACCACCTTTAGCAATTTTCCAGCAATATCACGGCGGGGGCACCAGAAATGGGCTTGACACATTGTACCCATGTGAGGAAACGAACGCATGAACCACTAGGCTACCCCGCCGCCTCTATGGTGGATAAGATCCATGAAGATCCGGCTTATATTTGGTATTCAGCAACCCATACTTGTCGTAAGATTCGACTAACGGGATCGGGTGGTCAGGGTCGCGACTTGGTCGACCACATGTCATCGTATCCGAACTGCGTAGTTAGATGCTCCGCCGTTGATCACTGGATTGTTTGATTATTTACAGACCGGTATTATTGCTGGAATATTGCTAAAGCGGCGTAAAACCACACTCACTCACTGACTGCCCCGTTAAAACAGGCCTCCAGCACTATACATGTACCTGTAAATCAGATCAGTTGTCAGGCTCGATCCTGGTGCACTGTTTACAGCGTCAGTGATTGGTTTGTCTGGTCCCGAGCCCCTGACTACCTGGCACAGCTGGAATATTTCTGTTTGACTTTCACATGATTATTTTTGTGATTTCATGGAAATATCCGAAGCTACTGGTCCCACTGATCTCATTCTCTCAGCAACATCAACTATGGCTAAAGGTACCAGTCAGCTGGCAGCCCTTATCTCATAAACTGCCTCTGTCTGCTTATGTTATATTGACTGCAACAAAGCGTTTATACGCCTGGTAATTTGTATGGAGGTATTTACTTTCCTTGGTAAAGTATTAACCTGTTCATAAAAACTAGGAATCGGTTAAGGAGATGTCGAAGAACAAATAAATACTTTGTTGTGGCCTCAGTAATATTTTATGCCTGGGACCTTGGAAGGATCATGGTGAAAAAAGGATCTGGAAAGTTTGCTCGTGGTTTCCAGATCTCTCTTGTCTGTTTACAGCGTTGTGGTTTTGTTATATTTATGTTTACGACAACCAGTAATGTGTGGTTTTATTGTAGAGTTTCGAGGACGTCAAGGCCCAGTACTCTGTGAAGGCCAAGTTCGCCTCTGACGAGTGTCTGATGGGGTTGTACATCCCGCTCCTGCTCCAGCGTTGTGGGCTTGTTATATTTATGTTTACGACAACCAGTAATGTGTGGTTTTGTTGTAGAGTTTCGAGGACGTCAAGGCCCAGTACTCTGTGAAGGCCAAGTTCGCTTCTGACGAGTGTCTGATGGGGTTGTACATCCCGCTCCTGCTGCAAGAGTCCTACCAGTTCGATCCTCACACCAGTAACATTGTAGTCGAAGATAAAATTCAGGGAAATAAAATTGGTAAGTAATGTTTCTTGGTAATTATTTTCATTTCTGTTTTCAAAATAAAAAGGGGAAAACATGTCTGATATCACAGCTGAAAATAGAGTCCACAATACGTTGTTTGCAAACATCATAAGTGTGTGTTTATGAATCACTATCAACTACAGTCATGATATCGTACACATGTGAGGGTCAGTTCCAAAACTGACGCATCAGAACTATATATTACATTATATTCTGTACAGCACAATGAAACAACGGGATACATTACCAGGAAACTGCTATTTAAGCGTATTTTTTCAACAGACCCTAATTGTATACAACACTGTTTGCTACTACATACAAGTGAAATAAAATTGAATATTTTCCACCTATATTTTGTACAATGTTATCATGTAACCATCCCTTAGAGAAAGGGTGTACGAGAAGAGGTGATTGGTGTTTCAGATTGGACAATGGGGGCCTTGTTGTACGAGCTGAACATGATGTTCCAGTCGTGGAAGTTGCTGCCACACACGCCGGTGTCGTGCCAACCAATCAGCTTCACGGCTGTCCCGGGATCACCTGCCGAGGTGCGACCAAACAGTGCCCTAGTTCCTGGACACGCCTTACAGACGGTGCTACTGTGTGTACTAGTGGTTCTACTGGAAACAAGGCACTGATTGGTGCTTCGTTGTTGTGTGTGTCCGTGTCATCTTCATCTTAAAGTGTGACACACCCAGTGACTCTCAATTGATGAGGACAATAATGATTGTAACAATAATAATGATAATCATCGGGCATTGGTGATGGGTTATACATGTTCATGTCATTTGTAACAATAACTTGCAACATTTACAGTTGCAGTCACTAGTCCAAAGAGAATGAGTGAATGTTTAGGATTAATGCCATTTACAGTATTTCAGTCGGCGTGTCGCCATTTTGAGAAACAGTCAATGGGCAGCCTGATTCTTGGGGTCTGTTGCACACCCAGGCGCAACAGACCCCGGGAACCCGGCTGCAGTCAATGGGATGCTCGTAGTAGACGTGTATCAACGGTGAATCCCACAAGCATGACTCGTAGATACCCAGGGAATTTGAGATTCGAACCCATAATCTGCATATCCTAGTAACTGACGACAAGATCTCTGCACGATGTATATCAAGGCACATTTTTTAACGATGTGCCGTTGGGATGAGCTTGCACGGACCCCCTGTTTACTCAGCCAGCTTATGTATTAAAGCTGTCGTTGACGCTGTCGTATGTGTAATGACGCCGTGGAGGATGTCTAAATACCCGCCTACATGCTATATTATCCGAGGTTCGTTATATAAAATGTACATTACCACTGAGGAGGACACATTGTCTGTCACGCGAATGTCTCAAGCATCCTTGATTTTTATGTTCATCATCTATCAGAGACATGTTCTCCAAATACTTAGCAAACCCTCTTCCTTAACGTGATACCTCTCCGTTACTGTCATCCTAACGTATCATGTCGACCGCTGTTGTTGGCATGATACAGAGATTGTATTCCAATGTATGTCATACGCCAGTGTATGTAACGTGTCCCATGTCTTTGCCAAATTTGTATAATAAACATTTCATACGTCATTTCACAACACGCTGGCTGTTTTTGTATATTAGTTTTGCTTTCTGGATACTCGATTCCTGAGTGGAAATATCTTTTTAATTTTTTAGAATTCGAAAACTTATTTACATTCACTCAGTAAACAGGCTATTAAATAAATTCCAATCAAACCTACTACGTTATCACAACGTTACAACAAATACCCATGAAGAATATGTTTGATCTTTTTCAGTTATTTTTTATCACGACAATCCCTTGCGAATATTTTGTATTGGATTACATTCACATCTTCAGTGACCTGTGAAGATCCGGGTTATCATTGGTCTTCAGCAACCAATGCTTGTCGTAAGAGGCCACTAACTTAATTGGGTGGTCAGGCTCTCTAACTTGGTTTACACTTGTCATCGTATCCCAATTGCGTAGATCGATGCTCATGCTGTTGATCACTGGATTGTCTGGTTATTTACAGACCGACACCATATAGCTGGAGTATCGCGGCGTTAACAAAACCGTAGTAATATTACGCTCAGGCACCTAACAACGATGGATTTGTAGCTATTGGTAATATTATGATATGTAGTAGTACAGTAATGATAACAAAGCTATGCACGATAAAGAGCACCATACATCTGCTCCCGTACTTTAAAAGGGCGGTATACCAATCATGGAGCTGAAACCACTTTATGGATCTCCAACTGCAGCGGTAGGTAAGATCTATTTGCAGAGTTCCTATTTTTAAACAGAGCCTTACAACAGTTGGTGTGATGACTGGCAATCATTATGGGTTCTACACATGTTCCCGACACAGTGTACATATGTATCACGTTTCAGGCAATCACCGCCCGCACGACGGGGAATCAATGAGACAGCATATATCACCTGTATAACATGTACCTGTTCTCTGTACTTGTAGATCCATTTCATAAATGATAATGATTAAAAATGTTGTAAATGTATAATGAACATTTAATTTATTGTTTATAGTTGAATATTCATTTTAAATGAATTCAGTCCAAGCTATGAATTCGACGATTGAACGGTTTATTTAGACATGTATGTTAATGTGTGATTACAGTGAATGGGTACATTAGAGGTCCGTTGTCACCACTGTTTGGTGTGATCGAGTCTGGACCAGACAAACCAATGACTGAAACCAGCCACAAACATTGGATACAGGGAAACCGTTATTCCAGGAATTCCCACGACACGGTCGACTTTTAAGAGCATGAAACAATAACACTAGTAGCACATTACAACGGGCCATATATCACAACAACGGTGATTGTCTATCTACCAACTAACCATCTCGCCTGGCTGTAGGTTGCATCAGCGAGATGTCCTCATTCCCCGACACCGTACTGAGTGATCTGTACTGTGTTCCCATCTAGTGGTGACACTAGGGAATACGGCTGGTATTTCACGTCTAAATAATACCATTAATCGTATTAAATGTAATTTGGTTATGAGGACTGGGGGGTAATGAAAATCAGATTGCCTGAATGAGATTCAATCTGGTGTTGCAGCACTGCAATCAGCGCAATACTCGGTATATAATGTAGTGGTACGCGATGTATGGTTCCAATACTAAAAACTACAAAACCCTTTCCACATCCAAAAGAAAACCAAAATTAATTACATTTAGGTATAAATAAAATATAATTTGTAAATATAGTATATGTTAAAGTACTTTAGCAAACCGCAACAAATGTAAGTTGGACAGGATGAATACACAGTCTATCATGAGAGTGTGGTGTGCAAATGACCACAAGCTTCATGCTGTAGTCGTGACCTTAATCTTATCTTACTTACACTGCCGCGTGTATTAGTTTGTAGCATGTGTGTTGCTTGATGTGCAAGCCGACTATATAGTTATGGTTATTTATCATTTATACAATATAGTTTTTACCAGTTATAATCGATGTTTGATATATGAACATGGATTTCCTGTGATTATTCAGTCATGATATATAAATATTTACAATCAACAACACAAACGTCAACGTCAAATCGCCAAACACAATTCGAAGCACAAGAGAACCCAGGCAGTTGTCTATCTTACATCTACCACACTGACATTTAGAAAGCCTTAACTTTGGGAATAACGTTTGCCATATGGATGGCCGGGTGGACTGAATGAGGAATACCTTTCGACGTTCTGACGTTAGTGGCTTACGGGTTGTAAAAGGGGAGATTACTCTTGCAATACGAACTCCCACATGAGAGGTGAAGGTCGATTGGAGTAAACGTTGGAGTAAACGTTGTTAGTGAATCCAAACGTGTTGCTGTCATCAAAATGCGAATACATGCGCTCTGTCGTGTAAACGGTATCTTGAAACCAAACCATAAATGTTTCATGCCAAAATTATTTGTATAAAAATACGTTCAACCATAGTCACATGAACTCCTGCCGGGAAGCTGGTATATTGCTGAGTGCGGGGGTAAACGACAAACAAACAAACAAACTAATCCTACAATTAATTGTCTGATTTCCTCCTGTGACGTAAAGACTGACTGACTGAGTTTTGGTTTTACGCCGCTTTTAGCAATATTCCAGCAACATCACGGCGGGGGACACCAGAAATGGGCTTCACACATTGTACCCATGTGGGGATTCGAACCCGGGTCTTCGGCGTGACGAGCCAACGCTTTAACCACTAGGCTACCCCACCACCCCCTGACGTAAAGAACAAACGCTTTGTGAGTAACAGAACCATATTGACAAACTTTATAGGTAACAACATTTTGTATTTCGTGAGTGCGACTTTCCGATACAGATTCTTGTTCGGTTGTCAAGCAGGAATGACCACGGCACAAGAACCTGTATCGAAACGTCACGAAATAAAAGAAGTTGTTATCCATACGTTTGTCAATATTGAACTTCCTAACTTCTAAAGTGCCACTGAAAGAAGTAACAGAACCGTCTTGAACATATTGGCGTCCAAACCATTTTGTTATGATCTACATTGTTTCAGTCAGAAACATCAAGTCACTTCTGCAGATAAGTACTGGCAAGTATTTCCTTCCATATTGGCGACAGTCTGTCCCCAAAATATATTGTATTGTCATATGCACTTTCATTTGATTAAATATTTACAGCTTGTGAAATCGACATGCCCATCTAAAAACTGTGACTCACGGTTTCATTAAACAACTATGATGCTACAAATGATACAGAACGAGGTCAGGTTTTGTGGGAGTGGGATTATAGGAACTCTTTATTCTCCATACTTACATACTTCCATATTTACTGTCTACGTTTATGCGCTTTTTAACTTGTCATCGAACCTTACCGTCCATCTGGTCAGGTCGTGTGTTAGGACAAGTATTGATTTAGTTTAACCCAAATCCTCAAGGGTTGGTTCCCTTTGTGGTAATAATATTACCTATATGTGTATTACCATGGTAATCCTAAGCCAACTGAAAATGTTCTCAGAAATCAGAAAATCAACAGCAAACATATTCGCCTTCTGTCTTTAACTTGCGTTTCTATATGTGATCAATTAGCTTCATCCTGGCTATACAGTGATAGGCTTATCACTGTCTGTTTCTGTATCTGTTTAACGCCGCCATCAGCAAATATTCCAGCTATATGGCGGCGGTCTGTAATTAGTCGAGTCTGGACCAGACAATCCAGTGATCAACATCATGAGCACGATCTACGCAATTTGGATACGATGACATGTGTCAACCAAGTCAGCCAACCTGACCACTCGATTCCGTTAGTCGTCGCTTACGACAAGCATGGGTTGCTGAAGACCAAAACAGTTTATACTTCGATCTGGGAGACCAGAGAACAGTTATTTTGAGCTAAGCTATTATGAATGTTACTCTTGTGTAAATGGGTTGTAAACTGTATTATTGTAATAAATGTTCCATAGTTATTAATATGCTGCATATATACTCATGCCAATAATGGTTGTCACCCCCCTCCCTACCCCAAACCCAACCACACACACCTTACACCCCACCCCACCCCTCTCCAATTAAAAACATTGAAGGGTGTGACAACCATTATTGGCATGAGTATATATGACTGTACATATATTCTGAAACGACCCCGATATGTTTCATTAATGTTTCAGCACCAGTCCCTAGCCATGTGGGTACCTTCATGTTGATATGCTTCATCCATTCAGGAGACCTGCAGTGGATTAAGAGAAATATGGTATCCACTGAATTTACTGAATAGGTTGTTTCTGGGATGTTATAACACTTTCAACTAAGTTTTAAAGAAATCTGGTAACTCATGAAATACATACATCGTCAAAGTTGTCATTGTCAACCCTACCCTAATATGTGACATGCAATTAATGAAACTGTCAATCCTCACCTCAAGTGTTTCAAAATTTCCAGAAATAGTCAACATTATACTATATCATTACATGATATAACTTATACCATATAATGACTATAAAACAGGAAAATGTGGGTGCCACAGGTTGATGACATGTCACAAGTTTAAAGTTTATGTCAAACTAGAAATTTAAACTGAATTATGCACAGGCAGCTCTATTAGATTCTCACTTAACAGTGCACTATGAAAATGTTTAGAATGTATAGACACAAACAAGATATATTAATGTGTTTCCAACATATAAACACTAAACAGGTTTGTCTCTTAAGTACATTCCTATAAAAAAAACTTTCCTATGACTTCATACAGAAAGAAGAATAAGGAAAATGTACAATTTTCTCACCTAAAACACCTGATATTATCTGTATACTTTCACAGGCTTTCTTTAACCTCGCCTTAACATATTCAAATATCCTCAGAGTTTAATTTTACAGCAAAGTCATATCTCAAATCAACATAACCTGAACTGCCCTAAACTGGTATTTGTGCACTACTGTTCTCAATCTTTGATAATGCTGTTATTTCTAAACCTTATTGAATCAATTGTATAAAGTGTGACACTTTATCTCATATTCTATGCTAGCTAGCTACTTTACTACTACTACAAAGTATACATTAAAGGACATCAGATGCATATGTCTGTTACTATCATAAGTAGTAAGTACAAAC